ATTAGAGAATCTACCCTGGAGAGGAAACCGGACTAATGTTATGAAGGTTCTTCTATAAGCATTTGGATGTCGCTTCAGAGGATTTATAGCTGCACACATGCACATACCAGTGTTTGTATAATATGTAGGAAACATTTGTTTCCACTTAAATTCAGGAACCATTTAATATGGGACTAGGTGTTAGAACCTTGGCTCTGCCATTTTCTAACTAGAGTCGATCCTTGAACAACATGGGTTTGAACTGTGCAGATCTACTTACACGTGGATTTTTTTCTCTTTTAAAAATTTTACTTATTTTAATTTTTTTTTTAAGAGAGAGGGGAAGGGAGGGAGAGTGGGTGAGAAACAGCAATGTGCAAGAGATACCTTGATTGATTGCCTCTTGTCCCTAACCAGGGACCTGGCCTGTAACCCAGGCATGTGCCCCAACTGGGAATTGAACTGGTGACCTTTCGGTTTGCAGGCTGATGCTCAATCCACTGAGCTGGGACCCCTCCCACCAATAAATACAATAAATATATTTTCCTTATGATTTTTTTTTACATTTTTTCCTCTAGCTGGCTTAATAATACAGTACATAAAACATATATAAAATATGTGTTAATCTATTGTTTATGTTATTAGTAAGGCTTCCAGTCAACAGTAGGCTATTAGTAGTTAAGTTTAGGGGGATTCAAAAGTTATACATGATTTTCAACTGTGCAGGAGGTCAGCATCCCTAACCCTTCCATTGTTCAAGAGTTAACTGTATATGATGTATTTTCCTTCTAAAGTCTAGAGGAAAAAGTCTAGGAATTTTAAACTAAGAGTGTTTAAGTTTTTCCTCTAACTTTTCAATTTGAAATCATTTCAGGCTTGAAAAACTTGTAAAAATAGTACAAAGAATTTCCATATTCCCTTCACCTAGCTTCTCCAAATGTTAACATCTTACAAAGTTTTAAAATCAGGCAATTGAAATCAATACAATTCTACTGACTGATCTGCAAATTTTGGCCAATTTTCCCACTAACATACTTTTTCTAGGCCAAGGACTAACCCAGGGTCACATATTACTTTTAGTTGTGTGTCCATGTGTGTTTTTAAATGTTAACTTTAAGAAAAAAATCAAACTTAACCCCCCCAAAATTGCAACACTAGTACAAATAATTCTAGTATGCCATTTCTATGTTTATCAATTGTTAACATCCTGCCACATTTGTGCTCAAGCTTTCTCTCTCTGTACAATTCTTTTTTTTTTACTGAAGCATTTCAGAATTAAGTTGCAGGCATTGTGACCCTATACCCTAAATATGTGAGTGAGTATTCCCTAAGAACAAAGACTTTCACCCTGGCTGGGTAGCTCAGTTGGTTAGAGTGTTGTGCTGATAGGCTAAGGCTGTGGGTTCAATCCCTATTTGGGGCAGGTACACGAATCAACCAAATGCTCAAATAAGTGGAACAGCAATCGATGTTTCCCTATCTTTCCTGTCCTCTCTCTCTCCAAAATCAATTTAAGAAAAAGAACAAAGACATTATTTTGTAATAACCATCTTGTAATGATTAAATTCAGGAAATTTAACATTGTTACTTTTTTAAAAAAATTTATTGTATTTTTTCCATTACCATTTAGTTCCATTATACCCCCTTTCCCCAGTAATACCACACTGTTGACTATGACCATGAGTCCTTTTTCCTCCACCCCTAACTTCCCACCCCCCATTAGCTGTCATCTGTTCTCCATCTATGAGTGTGTTTCTGTTTTGCTTGTTATTTCAGTTTGTTAGATTCCACATATGAGTACAATACTATTAATCTAACATATATTAATAGTACTCACCATTTGTCTCAATACTGTCCTTTATGGTAATTTTTTTCATGGTTTAGGATTTAATCCAAGATTAAGCTTTGCATTTAGTTGTCATGTCTCTTTCATTTCCCTCCATCTGGAATAATTCTTCAGCCTTTGTCTTTCATGACATAGATGTTTTTGAAGAGTACAGGTCATTTGTTTTCTAGAATGGCCCTTAATTTACTTTTGTCTAGATCAATGTCTCTCAAAATACAGTCTGTGACTGACTGATGCTGGTCAACATATCAGTGTTACCTAACAGCACATAGTCAACATAGAAACTGAAATTACACCTTTGGAAATAATTTTATGTCTTTTTAATAAAAATTGGGGGCTTATATTTTTATGTCATTTGACTTCATTTTTCTGCAAACTCATTTTTATTTTATTTCACAAAATATCAGTCCTAGCTTTTTCACAGTGGGTTTACCGCCAGAACACAGGCGTCTTGAAAACCATCACTAAATCTAAGACAAAATGGGAAAGGAAAGGACTCATAGTCAACATCTTCATCATTGGACATGTAGAATCAGTCAAGTCTATCCTACTGGCCACCTGAACTACAAATGTGGTGGGGCTGACAAAAGAATCACCAAAAAATTTGAGAAGTTTGCTGAGAGGGGAAGGGCTCCTTCAAGTATGTCTGGCTCTTGGATAAACTGAAAGTGAGTGTCGTATCATCACTGATAGCTCCCTGTGGAAATCTGAGACCGGCAGGTATTATGTAACCGATGCCCCAGGACACAGGGACTTTGTAAAACACATGATGACAGGCACATCTCAGGCTGACTGAGCCGTCCTGATTGTTGCTGCTGGTGTTGGTGAATTTGCAGCAGGGATCTCCGAGGCCGGCAGACCCAGCCGTGAGTGTGCCCTTTTGGCTGACACGCCGGGTGTGAAACAACCTATTGTTGATGTTAACAAAATGGGTTCCACTGAGCCATCCTACAGCTGGAAGGGTTATGAAGAAATCAGTAAGGAAGTCAGCACCTGCATTAAGAAAATTTGCTACAACCCTGACACAGTAGCATTGGCGTCAGTTTCTAGATGGAGCGGTGACACACGCTGGAGGCCAGGGCTAACATGCTTTGGTTCAAGGGGTGGAAATTTGCCCGTAAAGAGGGGAGGAAGGTTGGGTGACGTGGTGAAAAAGGTAAAGGGATTAAGCAGTACAAATTGGGAGTTGCAGAATAGCCACAGAGATGTGGATTACAGCACAGGGAATACAGTCAATAATATTGATAGTAGTAGTAGTAGTAGTAGTAGTAGTAGTAGTAGTAGTATGTGTGGGTCCAGGTGGGAACTTGAAGCAGTGAGGGGACCATTCTGGAAAGTACATGATTTTCAAACCACTTTGCTGTACATCTGAAACTAATACAGAATTGTATTGAATATAAACTGTAATTGAAAAATAAAATTTAAAAATCACCTATAAAGATGGCAGTGTGAGTGGAACCACGCTGCTTGAAGCTCCTCTTTGCTCCCTGCCACCAACTCCTCCGATTGACAAGCCCATGTCCGCCCCTCCAGGATGCCTACAAAAATGTGGGCCAAGTGGAGGCTGCTGTTCTCAGACCCATGAGGTGGTCACCTTTGTGCCAATGTTACAACTGAAATAAAGTGTCTGTTGAAATGCACCATGAACCTTTGAGTGAAGCTCTTCCTGGGGATGCTGTGGGCTTCACTATCAAGGATGTGTCTGTGGCAAAGTGGCTGGTGACAGCAAAATGGACCCACCCACGGAAGCAGTTAGCTCCACATCTCATGTGGTCATCCTGAACCATCCAACCAAATCAGAGCTGGACATGCACCTGTGCTGGAATGCCACACAGCTCCCATCACAAACGTGCTGAGCTGAAGGGTAAGAGTAATCGTTGTTCCAGGAAAAAACCTGGAAGATGGCCTGAAGTTTTTGAAATTGGATGGTGCTACCATCGTTGATATGGTTCCTGGCAAGTCCCTGTGTGTTGAGAGCTTCTCTGACTATGCTCCTTGGGACCATTTTGCTGTTTGTGACATGAGACAGACAGTTGCTGTGGGCATCATCAAAGCAATGGACCAGAAGGCAACTGGAGCTGAAAAAGTCACCAAATCTGCCCAGAAAGCTGAGAAGGCTAAATGAGTATTATCCTCAATACCTGCCACCCCAGGCATAATCAGTGGTGGAAGAACAGTTTCATAACTGTTTGTCTCAAATGACCACTTAGGTGCAATAGTAAAAGGCTGGTTAATGATTAAAATGCACCATAAAACCTTCAGAAGAAAATCAGCGTGTTTTGTGGACCATTTGGGGTGTGTGCGTGTGTTTTTAAGTTACTAGTTTTTAAAATCAGTCCTTTTTAAGGGAAACAACTCGACTAAAAATCTGTTACAGAGTTTTGAGAACCATTAAAACAAAGTTTAATGAGAAAAAGTATCAGTCCTAAATGGGCTGGACATTTTCATTCGGAAGGGTTGTTTGTCACAGCTGCTTTGGACAGCACTGGTCTAGATCAGATTTGTGAGGCTACGGACTATGCTTTAGTCCCTTGGAATCCATTACGCCTAGACCACACCAGGCAGAGTTCACTTAGTGGTTGCTGTGGGATGTCCTGAGCCCTCGTTACTTCATTGCTCCCAGCTTTAATAAAGCTGCTCTCAAAATCACGTGAAGTATGCACTCTTCTACAGGAAGTCAAGAGTCCGTACATCTCATGCCAGTCTGGGGCACACCCACTCCGGCAGTTTCCGAGCACTAGCGAACCACTTCGTTTGAGGTACGTCTGTGACTTACTCCACTCCCCTCTCCCGGGATGGGTTGGGTGGCGCCAGTGACGCTCCTGGGACGGTATCTGGGAGACAAACTTCCAGAAGGTGGGCGTGACTCCTGCCATCCCTCCCCGCTATCCCCTCCCACCGCCCGGAAGAGCTCCGGCCACCCCCCCCGCCCCCCCCAGCCCCGCGAGCCGCAGGAGTATGACTGCTCGTCACCGCGTTTTAGCATCGCATTTGTAGAACGGGGCAAAACTATTTAGAAGGTACGCCTACTCCGCATCACCCCACGAAAGGGGATTTCTTCTGCACATTGCATATTAGGATCGGACTCTTCGCTGTGTAGGAAGAAACTTGGCAGGCGGCTGCCTGTAGGCACCCAGGCGGGGGCCAAACCAGGGGATCGGGGCCCAAACCAAGCATGGCCATGGATGTGGAGGCGGCAGCAGCCCGGACATCGTACAGCTTTGTGCGGACCCTTCCGGGCCTGCTTTTGTGGTTCCCGCTGTTCACCGAAGGTAAAACCTGGGCGAGAAAGGGGGAGGGAGGAGGGAGTTACGGAGTTGGTGGCGGGTGTTTGTCTCTAGATCCTCTGGTCAACCCCTTTGGAGTCCTCGACTCTGAGCTCTACTTTTTGAAATTAGGTTCATTTATTGATTCAGCAATTAAGATATGGATGTGACTGTCTCCTTCAGGTTAAGGGCTCTGTGGGTTTTAGCTCCTCTTACATCATCCTAGATGCCAGAACTCCGCCCATTAATGACTCATTTAGCCTTTTACTAAAATTTCTGCTTTGCTCTTTCCACAACAAAGAATTATTTGGCCAAAATGCCAACGGTACCAAGAAACTTTGCAAACCATTTTTGACATATCCAGACAGTCACAACCCCTTCTCCATTCATTGCACAAATCGTTTTTTGGTGTTTCAGTTGTGGTTTTACCTTTCTTGAAATAATGAAGCATAATATGCTGAAAATGTTGCATATCTTCTTCCATCTTCAATATTAAAATGGCTACACAAAAATTCACCAATTTTGGTAAGTATTTTTAAATGCACACTGATATGACAGCTGTCACAATACAATCTAACAAAAGTGTTTTGAATTAAGTTAAAGACAGCTAAGCACTACTAGAGCCATTGTACAGGGAAAACCTAAATGAACTTTTTGGCCCACCCAATATTAGCATAAAGTTAAAGCCCCGAGCCTGGCAAATGCCTGCCATAGGCACTACACGAAAGGAATGTCTTCAAAGCCCCTTCGTGGTACCCTTCAGTCACCCCTAAGCTACCTTGAACCCCTGGGCCCAAGGGACCCTTAAACAGTTTTGCATTCACATACTCCCTCCCTCACCCCATTTCTCTCTGGTGGTCTGGATCTCGTCCTCTACCCTAGCCATCTTGTCAAATTCTCTTACCTCCACGTCGCTCAAATGCGTACCATGTATGGCCTCTTTGTATTCCTTGAATCTCAGGCATTCCTTCATTTTCACTGTAGAGTTTTCCACTTTGAGATGTCACTGCCTTTTTCTGTCCTGCAGGAGTTCTTGACAGGCACCTCCTTTTCTAGCCTGGCCAAGCGCTGAGAACAACAGACACGCAGACCTTTTCCTTTTCCGTGCCCCTTCCTTCTTGCCCATTTCAGTGTTCTGCAGGCAGTGAGGAACACCCTCACACTGACCTGAAAGAGCCTGGAGCAACAACGAGGAGTTTGCAGACAGTGCAGCATCCAATCGTAGCGAAGGAGTCTTTTCACTTTTTATGGAACACTGCTGGACATGTTTCTGTTTAATTGTTGATCAAGAACCAAAAACCTGGAAGGCATGTGAAGAGATAGTTTAAGTCATTATTAACCAGAGAACAGAAAACAATAATAAGATATCACTTGACCTTTATTAGACTAACCCACATAGGCTGGGGGATGCCAAGTGGTAGTGGTAGTGATGTCGGAATCTAGACCAAATGGGTGTCCATCAGTGGGGCTGTAGATGAGCCAGGTGTGGATGTTCACCATGGAGAAATGGGCAGCAACTTCAAGTAAAGGACTAGATGTACACCTGGCAGTCTGGATGAATCTGGAAAGCATAGTGGCAAAAGGAGAACCAGCCTTGGCCGGTGCGGCTCAGTTGGTTGGAGCATCTTGCCATAACTGAGAGCTTGAGGGTTCAGTCTCCAGTTTGTGCGTGTCTGGGAGGCAATGGATCATTTCCTCTCCCTCATCAGTGTTTCTCTCCTTCCCTTTCTTTCTCTCTAAAAGCAATGAAGAAAAAAAAAAAAGTCCTGGGGTGAAGATAAAAAAAATTAATAAAAGGATGAGAAGCAATGACATATAACTTAAAACCATTTCTCTAAGTTTGAGAAACAAAACATGACAGTTTTTAAAATTAATTTTCACCCAAGGATATGTTTTTAATGATTTTAGAGAGAGAGGAAAGGGCAGTGGTTGGGGGGGAGAGAGAGAGAGAGAGAGAGAAACATTGATATGAGAGAGAAGCATTAATCGGTTGCCTCCCATTTGTGCCCTGACTGGGGACCAAATCGGCTACCTAGGTATGTGCTCTGACCGGGAATCAAACCCACAACTTTCTGGTGTATAAAATGATGCTACAACCAAGTGAGCCATCTGGCCAGGGCAGAACAAGACAGTTTTAAAGAGAACAGAAATACAGATATTAAACATCTTAGATTGCTTGCCTGATGGGGGAGGGGAATGGAAATAAAAGGAATAATTATTTATCAATGTGCAATGAGCAACCTGAAAATAAAATTAATAAAATAATCTATATATAGTTTCATAAAAAAGAATATAATATTTAGGAATAAATTTAACAGGAAAAGTACAAAACCTATACTCTGAAAACTATAAAACTATTGTTGAAAGAAATTTAAGAAGATCTAAATAAGTGATAAGACAAACATCTTGTCTGTCTTCTCAAGCTGCCATAACAAATACTGTAGACCGAGTGGCTTCAACTGCAGAAATTTATTTCTCACAGTTCTGGAGGCTGGGAAGACAGAGATCAAGGTGTTGACTGCTTTGTTTCTGGTGAGAGGCCTTTTTCTGGCTTGTACATGAACACCTCACTCTATCCCCAGGAGTGGAGAGATTATTTCTCCCATCCTTCTCCTTTCTCTTATAAGGGCACTAATCCCATTCATGAGGGCTCTACCCTCATGACCAAATTATCTCCCAAAGCCCCCAATTTCAAGTACCATCACACTGAGGATTATGAATTTTGGAGGGACACAAGCACTCAGTCCCTAGCACATCCCCAAAACACATTCATGGATTAGAAGACAACATTGTTAAGATGGCAGTACTCCCCAAATTGATCTACAGATTCAATGCAATTCCTATTAGAATCTCAGACAACTTCTTTGGAGAAAATAAACTGATTTGAAAATTTCTATGAAATTGCAAGAGACCCAGGATAGCCAAAACTATCTTGGAAAAAAAAAAAAAAAGAACACATTTGGAAGATCTCATGTGGATTAATGAGAGGTCATGAACTAAGGGCCTCTCTACAGGAGACCCCCGGCCCAGAAAAGGAATTTGTTTCTGATTACATGGTAGTGTTTGAGAGTACGAGCCCTGTGGTTTTTCCCCAAGGTTCTTCCATAACTGAGTTTTCTTGTTCCCACAGGTTCCTTGCCAGTGGAGATGGCAAGGAAGACTCAGACTGTGCGTCTGAATGACAATGTCACCATCTTCTGCAAAGTCCCTGGTTCTTCACACTGGAACATCGAAATTATGGGTGTTACCTGGTTTTGGAAGAATCAGGTGGATAAAACAGAGGTCAAGGTGTTTGAGTTTTATGGAAACCATCGAAAAGCATTCCGACCAGGAGCCAATGTGTCTCTACAGAGGCTGGTGAAGGGGGACGCCTCACTGCAGCTGCCTGGAGTCCAGCTGAGGGAAGCAGGAGAGTACCGATGTGAGGTGGTGATCACCCCTAACAAGGGCCAGGGAACATCCTCTCTGGAGGTTGTGGGTGAGTGCCTGGTGGCAGTGTCCTGTGGTTCCATGGTGATGGGGCTTGGGTGGAGATGTGGATGGGCCAAGTGGAGCAGAGGTTTGGGGCATGGGCCTAAGAGTCAGATAGATGTGGGTTTGAGTCCTGGGCTTCCATGGACACCTGGACAGCTTAGGGCAAATTATTACCCATGCTGAACCTCAATGTCCTTTGCTCTAAACAAATGTAATAGTACCTACCCAAGAGGATTGAGAAATGCTTAGTGTAGTGCTTGGCCCATTAGAAGTGCTCAGGAGAAGAAAGCCTAGTGTGTGGACAGTCAGCAATCTCTGAAGAGGTACCTCTGAAAGGCAGCTGGGAAAGGGGAGAGGTGCTATGCTCTGGCTCCACAGATTTGACTCCTCTTCCAGCTTTGCTGCTTCCAAACTGGGTGATGGAGCCAGTCATTCAACATTTTTGGACCTGAAATTTTCCCATGTACAAAATGGGTCGATAAATCATACCTGCCTCTTAGTGTTCTGAGGATTACATAAGACAATGTATGAAAAAGGTGAGCTGCGTGCTGTTCTGAGTTAGTTGCTCAGTTAAGACTTAAAACAACAAAAATATTCCTTAAACGCTAATTTGAGCTCCACTTCCCTCTATTATAAATAGGTCTGGTAATACCACGTGGTTGAGCTTGCTGGGAGGGTGTATTAGTTTGCTAGAGCAGCCATAACAAAATACCATTGATTAGGTGGCCTAAATAACTGAAATTTATTGTCACAATTCTGGCATTTAGAAGTCTTAGATCAAGGTGTCTGCAGGTTGGTTCTTCTGCCAACTCTCTCCTTGGCTTGTAGATGTCTGTCTTCTCCCTGTGTCTTCACGTGGTCTGCCCTGTGCGTGTATCTGTGTCCTAGTCTCCTTTTCTTATAAACTTTTGAGTTAGATTAGATTAGGGCCCAACCTAATGACCTCATTTTAATGTAACAACCTCAATAAAGACCCTACCTTCGAATACAGCCAGAGTCTGAGGGACTAGGGTTAGGACTTCAACATAGGAATTCAGGGGTGGGAGACACAATTCAGGCTATAACAGGGGGAGGGGGACTGTGTCTATGAGCTCTCCAAAACTGTACTTAAGGCTCTGAATGTTTTGTCCATATTAATTTGGGGGATGGGAATGCATTTTAGGATTCATTTCTTCTTCAGACAGAAAGCCTAAAATAAAAGATTAAAAAAAATTAATAGATTTCATTTTTTAGAACAGTTTAGACTTACAGAAAAATTACAAAGATAGTACAGAGTTCCTGCCTCTGTATACCACTTCCCCTATTATTAATATCTTGTGTTAGTATGGTTTATTTGTTACAATCAATGAACCGATATTTATACATTTTTATTAATTAAAGTCCATTTATTTATTTATTTATTTATTTATTTATTTATTTTTAGAGAGAGGGGAAGGGAGGGAGGAAGAGAGGAAGAGAAACATCCATGTGTGGTTGCCACTCGAACCCGCAACCCAGACATGTGTCCTGACTGGGAATTTAACTGGTGACCCTTTGGTTTGTAGGCCAGCAGTCAATCCACTGAGCCACACCAGCCAGGGCTGAGTAAATTTTTTTTTTTCCAGATTTTTTTGAAGGTTTTCTCTTTGTCTTTTGACCAAAAAAAAAAAAAAAAATTTTTTTCCCCCTGTATTTTGAACATGATGTGGTGTTTTCCTGCTTGGCGTTTTCTAAGCTTCCTGGATCTATGCCTTGGTATCTGTCATTAATTTTGGAAAATTCTTAGCCATTATTTTTCAAATTATTCCTCCTCTTTTCTCTTTACTTCCTCTGATATTCCTGTTACACATACATTATAGCTTTTGCAGTTGTCCACAGTTTTGGATATTTCTTTTTCTTCTGGGTTTTCCCGTACCATCCTTTTTGCTCTTTGAATTTCAGTTTGGGAATTTTTACGGACATATTTAAGCTAACTGATTCTCTCCTTGGCCGTGTTAAGTCTACTGATGAGCCTGTGAAAGGCATTCTCATTTCTTTTATAGTGTTTTTGGTTTCTAGCATTTCCTGGCTATGAGAGTCAGGGTCATGGCGTATCAGCACCTTGCTGGCACTAAGATCAACATACCCAGATATCTAGCTTAAGGAGAATCCCACTTGCTTCACTCACCCTTCCTGAAGGCTTGCTCTGGGTCAGACATTGAACTGATAATAACCTGTCCCAACCTACCCTCAAAGTATGACTTTTCTCTCCTGGCAGCTTACCCAGTCATCAGCTTGTTGGCAGAGGAAGCCAAGGTGAAAGATAATGATGACCAATATCTTCTGTGTAAGTCAAGTAGGTTCTACCCGAAGAACATTAACATAACGTGGTATAGATGGACCCAGGAGAATCCCCAGTATCTGAAGTTTTCTGAGGGCATCACCACTGATTTTGCCATTAAGAATGAAGATGACACATTTAACGTCACTAGCCGTTTGAGGCTGAAGTGCTCTCTGAAACACAATGTGACCTACCGATGTATGATAGAACACATATCCTTGCCCACCCCCCAGATGAAGGACATCACCCTGCCTGAGAAAGGTAAGTGTCTTTCTAGATGTTTCCCCTGCTCTTCACCTTGAGGGGACATAACATAAAACTCAGGTTCCCAGTTAGTCTAGGCCAAGAGGGGGGCCACTGGGGTAGGAGAAAAAGCTTGGTTTGGCCTCACTCAGCCCCACAGCCAGCGGTCCAGACTAGGTCCTGAACCAAGGCGATGGTCTCCTCCGTGGAGAGTAGTGACAGCAGTCCTCAGGGTTGCTGTTAGCTTATGGCAGCTTAAGTGATCTAGGTGGTCCATATGACCTGGAGTGGGAAGCTGCTAGGAGAAAGGGTCCATGTCCCCTGAGGATAAGGGTCTATGAGGAGGCAGAGACCCAGCTCTGCCAGCAACTCTTCTGGTCAGGCTCCAGGCTCACTGCAAACTGTTGGCTGGTAGGGACTGAATCAGTGGTCTGTGCCCACGGTGGGGAGGCCATAGTAGGGAGTCCTGTGAATGCCAAGGGCTTTCCCCAGACACAGTAGATCCTTAGCTTAAGATAATACAGCTCCCCACAGAACCCCTCCTGCTGGTGGGGTGGGGTTAACTGAGCTCACATCCTGGCTTCTGTGGTCCTGGCTCTGGTCCTGGGGTGGGGGTGGGGTGACCTTGTGCATCAAATGCGTCAGCCTGGAGCTGAGAGGGGCTAGGAAGGCAGGGGCTGGCTGGATGTGCCAGAAGGGGCCTGCGGTGGTCCTGGAGGGAGAGAAGGGCCAGGGGGGTGGGTGTGTGGGGGTATGTGTGTTGGGGGGTATATGCAGGGATGTGTGCAGAGTATGTGCAGTGCATGGGGAGTATGGAATTGAAATATGCCTTGTAAGTATAAGAGGTTTGTCTTGGTGATTTGTGTATGCCTTTGGGCTGCTATGACAGACTGCCACAGACTGGCTTATAAACAACAGCTTTATTTCTCACAGTTCTGGAGGCTGGACATCTGAGATCAGTGTGCCAGCATGGTTGGGTGAGGGCTTTCCTCTGGGTCACAGATTTCTTTTTGTATCCTCATGTGGTGGAAGGGGTCAGGGATCTCTCTTGGGCCTCTTTTATAAGGACAGTAATCGCATTCATGAGGGCTCCACCCTCATGACCAGGAATCCCACCTCCAAATACCATTACATTGGGTATTAGGATTTCAACATATGAATTTTGTGGGGGTTGGGGGGAGCACATTCAGTCCATAGCAGAAGTGTAAGATGGTATAGTAGTGTGAAAGCTTTGAACACGCGCATGGCATATTTTTGTGGGATGTGGTGCTCGATACTGCCGTGTATCTGTGGCAAGTGCTAAACACACTAATGTGTGGAAATGTATGTGATAGGAATGACAAGACATGTGGCAGAGGACTGACTGGTGGTTCTGTCTCTGACAGAGACATGACACACAACCACACAGACCTTAGCAACGGTTATGTCGTCACTTTGGCCCCTGCCAGTTGGTTTTCCCTTAAGTTTGGCTTCCTCTTTCTCTCTGCAGGATCTGAGACAAGAAGTGGCTCGTGCAGCACTTACGTTTGCATCTCTGTTTTCTGTTCTGTAGTTGGACTGATTTTAATAATTTCGTTTTGCAAAAGGTAAGGGGATACTAAAGCAAAGTTTAGCCCTTTATTTTGGAATTGGCTCTGGGAGTTCAGGGAGCATTGCCAGCGGATGACGTTGGAGAGTTCTCAGGATCGATCCCAGGGGATTCTACGTGGTGTGTTTGTGGTGTGTGGCTTTTTCTGATGTTGTGTGGGGGAGCTTTCTCATCAGATCTATGTATGGTGGCTTGTGACTCTGGGGAATGCATTGTAAAGTCCCTCTGCCTCTTCATAACATACAACTCATTGTGAACCAAACTGCACTGTTAGCAATTTGGAGCGGGCCTTTGAACTACGTATGAGCTGCATTGTTCTCACATGTGGAAACCACAGCTCAGAGAGCGGAATTCCTTCCCCTAGGTGCTCCTATTTTGTTTTGTTTCCCTCCCCATTTTTATTTTTTTATTTTGTTTTTTCTCCCCTTTATTCTCCTCCACCCAGCACCCCCCTCCCACCAGCATTCCCCCCTGCCACCTTAGTTCATGTCCATGGCTCCTACATATAGTTCTTTGGCTTCTCCATTTCCTATGCTATTCTTAACCTCCCGCATCTATTTGTACCTACTATTTATGCTTCTTATTCCCTGTATCTTTTCCTCCATTCTCCTCTCTCCCTCTCCCCTTTGATTTCCATTTCTGTAATTCTGTTCCTGTTCTAGTTGCTTGCTTAGTTTTTTTTTTTTTTTTTTTAGGTTCAGTTGTTGATAGTTGTGAATTTGTTGTCATTTTACTGTTCATATTTTTTGATTTTCTTCTTTTTCTTAGGTAAGTCCCTTTAACATTTCATATAATAAGGGCTTGGGGATGATGAACTCCTTTCATCTGAGCTTATCTGGGAAGTACTTTATCTGCCCTTCCATTCTAAATGATAGCTTTGCTGTATAGAGTAATCTTGGAAGTAGGTCCTTGCCTTTCATGACTTTGAATAATTTTTTCCAGCCCCTTCTTGCCTATAGGATTTCTTTTGAGAAATGAGCTGATAGTCTTCTGGGAACTCCTTTGTAGGCAGCTGTCTCCTTTTCTCTTGCTGTTTTTAAGATTCTCTCCTTATCTTTAATTTTGGGTATTGTAATTATGATGTGGCTTGGTGTGTGCTTCCTTGGGTCCAACTTTGGCGCTCTCTGAGCTTCCTGGAGCTCCTGGAAGTCTTCTTCCTTTGCCAAATTGGGAAGTTCTCCATTATTTTTTTCAGATAAGTTTTCAATTTCTTACTCTTCCTCTTCTCCTCCTGGCACCCCTATGATTTGGATGTTGGAACGTTTAAAGTTGTCCCAGAGGTTCCTAAGCCTCTCCTCATTTTTTTGAATTCTTGTTTCTTTATTCTCTTCCGATTAAATGTTTATCTCTTCTTTCTGCTCCAAATCTTTGATTTGAGTCCCAGTTTCCTTCCCTTCCCTGTTGGTTCCCCGTATATATCTTTTTTTATTTCACTTTACATAGCCTTCACCTTTTCCTCCATTTTGCAACCAATTCAGTGAGCATCCAGATCACCAGTGTTTTGAACTATGCATCTGATAGGGTGGCTATCTGTTCATCACTTAGTTCTATTTTTGGAGCTTTGATCTGTCCTTTCATTTGGGCCATATTTCTTTGTTTCAGCGTGCCTATTATGTTGCAAGGGGCAGAGCCTTAGGTATTCGCCAAGGCGGGGCAATGCCAGTCGCTGTGTTGTGACTCTGTATGTCGGGGAGGGGTCTGAGAGGGAACAGTGCCTCTTGCTCGGCTCTCCCCAGCTTTCAGTCACTTCCCCTGCTGCCCATAAGCAAATTGATCCCTTCTAGTGCTGATTCCTGGGTGGGTGGGTGGGTTTGTGTATGTTCTAGGACCCCATCAGTCTCTCCAACTGACTCTCCTGAGAGGCTGGGAGTTTCTCCTGCTACCGCAACCCCCACAGCTTTTTATAGCCAGAGGTTTTGAGGCTTTCTTTTCCAGAGCTGGAACCCTGGGTTGCGCAGTCTGTCTCGCTCCCCAGCTGTTCCTCCTGGTTTATTGGCATGCAAGTGTGGGACTGCCCCATCCTCCAGCCGCTGCCTTGCTGTGTGTCCTCTCCGCCCCGGCTGCCCGTTTCCGCCCCTCTTACTGGTCTGGACGAATGTTTCCTTTTTAGCTCCTTGGTTGTTGGACTTCCAAACATTCAATTTTCTGGAAGTTCTGGCTATTTTTTGTTTTCAAATTTGTTGTTGTCCTTCTTTTGTTTGTGTGAGGAGGCAAAGTGTATCTATCTACCTACACCTTCATCTTGGCTGGATGTCCTCTTATATTTTGTTAATAGCTCAAAGACATAACTTATAACCAGATTTCACCTTTAACCCTAGAATTTCTAACCCTCACTGGTGTTTCCAAATATGTTTATTCTTAACTGTGGTCCAAATAGCAAATAAAACAGCTCAAGAGACCCAAGAGGCCAGTGTAAACATGTTGGTTAAAATGGCTCTATTTTTTTTCTTAAGATTTTATTTATTTATTTTTAGAGAGAAGGGGAAGGAGGGAAAAAGAGAGGGAAACATTAATGTATGATAAAAAATACTGACCAGTTGCCTCTTGCATGCCTCCATCTGGGGACCTAGACTGTAACCCAGGCATGTGCCCTGACTGGAATCGAACCAGGAATCCGACAAGCAACCTTTTGGTCCACAGGCCAGTGCTTAATCCACTGAGCCACACTAGCCAAGGCTAAAATGGTTCTACATAGTAAAATTGCCCTCAGTTACTTATGGGTCTGCCAAGGCAGAACCTGTGCAATAGCTAATATTCTCATTATAAATGCTTTAGGAAAATTAGAATAATCAATTGATCAAGAAAAAAGTCTGCTTCTTTATATAAAGTTGGCCAGTTGAATCATGGGACATAGTCTCCCGATTGGACTTAGGCCAGTGTGATGAAAACTGGATATAAGGTGGTTTTCAAATGTGTTGATATTTGTGAATGTTTTCATATTCCTTGCCTTCCTCAGCCCTCTGCTCTCCAGGTGCCATCACTGGAGGCAGACATGTAACAGGGACACCTATTGAAAAAGAGACTACTAAAGCCTTCATGATCACCCTGGATTCTCAGGTGGTTTGCAGTGACATCTCCAATCCTTCACCCTTTGCTATATCCTTGTCCTTTGCTCTGTAACTTTGCAGTGCCCTCTCATCATGGGCGGCCCTTTTACAATGCTCAAACTTGTGACTTGCTTTGACCAACAAAATAAGACGGAAGTGAAAGAGGCCGTGTGTATTTCCATTTACTTTCTTTTGTGCTTCTGATGTTGGTGAGAGGAGGACACATCCAAGCTCTCCTGCTGGAGGATGAGATACAATGGAAGCTACAGCCAGCTGTTCTAGAGGAGGCCAGTCTACAGTAAGTCCTCAATGGCATCCATAGGTTCTGCAACTTGAAACAAAACGATGTGCAGTGAAATTAATTTTACTACAGGCTAATTGATATAAACAAGAGTTAGGTTCTTCCGGCATCTCATCAACATAACAATGAGAACCTTGACCGAAACCACATTATTTAAAGACCACCAGCTGTGGCAGCCACCCAACTCCCAGACATGTGAACTGAGATCATCAGCATCAACAGAGCCAACTCTCAAATGTGTGAGAAATATTTATTTTTTAAAAGCCACTGTGAGTTTAGACTGGCTTATTATATAGCAAAAGCTAACTGATATAGCTCCTTAGGAACCTGAATTTTGACCAAAAAAGTATGGTTGCCATGGATATGTGCTGCTGAGACCCTCTTTGCTGTGAAGACTGTATGCAGCCCACATGTTCCAGCTGTGTCATCTCAGAGATCTACTGCAGTGTTCTAGCTTAGGCCGTGCTCCAGCCAGCAGCTGGACAAAGCCGGTGTCTTTGGAGCTCCCTGCTGGAGTGGCTGAGACTTCCTCAGAGTTGCAGTGTAGTCTGAAGCTCTTGCTACCCAGTCCTCCCACCTTCCTCCCTTCAGAGATAGCAGACCTGCAACATGATCTGAAGGCTTTCCCCACCTACTTCTGTGGCCTCGTTCATAGGCACTGCTTCTAGTAACTCTCTCATACTTCTAATGTACCTTGAAAGCTGCTTCTTAGAAGACCCAGGCTAACACAAGAGGGACTAAAGAATTTTAACAAGAGGTGCTTTCATTATGGTGCATTCATTACGTATTCAGGTGGAGGGATCCCTGGGACACTGGCAGTTCTTACACAGTGACAGGCAGCAGAGACCACAAGCTTTCTCAGGAATGTGTAAGTAAGTAACTGAAACTCCTTTTCCTGATGTCCCACGCAGTGTGCTCAAGAGCAGCCTATTCAAACTGCCCTCTTGGATAGCCTCTGGACAATCAGCTTTTTGCAAGAAAAGGAAAAAGAGCAACACTTTCCAGAGAAGATTACAAATGGCCAAGATGTACATAAAAAGGTGCTCAACATCATTAGTCATCAGGAAATGCAAATCAAAGCAATAAGATATCACCTCACCCCTGTTGGAATGGCTACTATCCAAAAGACAAGAAATAAAACGTATTGGCAAGGATGTGGAGAAGAGGGAAGACTTGGGCACCTTTGGTGGGAATGTAAATTGATGCAGCCATTATAGAAAATGGTATGGAAATTCCTAAAAAAAAAAATTAAAACTAGAACTAACATACGATCCAGCAATTCCACTTCTGAGAATTTATCTGAAGGAAGGCAGTAACTTGAAAAGTTAGTGTACCTCTATGTTATTGTAGCATTGTTTACAATAGGCAAGACATGTAAACATGTCTTCACTGATGGATGTTCACTGATGGATGAATGGATAAAGAAAATGTGAAACATACCCACACAGTCCTGTGCCACTTAACAAAGGGGGTACATTCTGAGGAATGTGTGGTTAGGCAATTTCATCGTTGTGTTAACATAACTGAGTGCACTCACACAAACCAAATGATACATACAGCCTTCTCCACACGTAGGCTCTATGGTGTAGCCCGTTGCTCCAGGCTACAAACCTGTATAGCACATTACTATACTGAGTACTGTAGGCAGTTGTAA